AATACAGGCTATATAAAGGAAAAAAATACATAAACAGAATAATCTAGATAAACTATTTGGCCTTGCTAATCGAAAAATCAGTTGTTGGATGACTGGTCGACCATCACAACCCGGTAAGGGAATTCAGAGTCAAAAAATACCCTCAGGTAGCTTACTGAAGTCTCAGGAAAGATCATATAATTAGATATTTTAAAGGGTCTGACAGTTTAATTATGTATTTAGGGTCGCTGAAACATCTAGCAGCATCTATGATCAGTGGTGTTAGCCAGTGGTCAGTGACTGTGCTTGTATAACTAACCACGTGCGATGCGTAGGACCCTCATGATACGTATGATGGTGGGGTTGATGGGCAGAGATGCACTGATCTCGATCTCCTCCAATATGATGCCCATGACTGACAGCAGCACTATAGCCAAATCCAGCTGGTTCCACCTGCACACATACACAAGGGACAGATTTGCTCTGTTAAGCAAAAGTTCAACTTTCATGCACTCTGAATCCAACCTTCCCCTCTAGTTTCATTCCAATCTGGTCATTTACTCCTCCAGAGAGGTGGCTTACAAGAAATTAACATTTGAATTCATTCTGGTCAAACAGGTGGCTTGGGACCTGAATTTTTGCTGGGGACCACTTAATAACACCCAATTAGGGATAATTAAGGACCCACTCCAGCATAGGTGACCTCATTCGCTAATGCAGGACGAGGGACGGCTCGTTTTTACACTACAGCACAAATCATAGTCGCCCACATCTGCGGTGCTGGAACCAGCCGCGGCACACCTGTCTGCGCACACATCTCTGCTATCCAGCTCGTAATTGTGACCTAGTTAAGAGGCACAGAGAGCTACGACAATAAATAATGGCTTGTTGAAAGCTTTCAACAAAGTGCACTGTGGTCTGAGCCTGTTTTTTTTTTACTCTTTTAAATGGGTCAATACCATATATTCTAATAAAGCTACAAAATGCTGGGATGTTTACACCCTGTGCTTGCTCTATGCACCTTGATACATGTCAGTATTAGTTTATGACAAGCTAGAGGAACCGCTCATGTAGTCAGCCTAATGAAAAGTAGGAGTTCTATTAGGGAAACAAACACAGGAGAGAGATTTCATTAAACCCTTAAGACAAATAACCACGTTCACTCTCGCTTTTTACTGTATCTGATGCGCTTTGTTGTATTTACATAATGCAGGGCTAATTAAATTTTTATCTGTGCCATGAAAGCAACAGCAGATGCAACATTTTGCCTGTAACACATCCTCCAGTGACTCTAGAGAACAAACTAAGAGGATTCGGTCAGGTGGAATCGACATCTAATGAATTCATTAAATCAATTAGCGATCGGAGGAGAGGAAATGTGAGGAGATGAAAGGTGAGAAGGAGAAACTCAATACCTGTCTTTGAAGAAACGTCGGAAGCCAAACGCGATGAGCTTCAGGACAGCCTCCAGCACAAAGGTGCTGGTGAAGAAATAATTACAGTACTTGAGTGCGATCTCCAGAGACTGGGGGGAAGGAAACATACAGACAGAGAGGAAGCCAGAGAAACAGGAAGAGAACGAGAGAGGTGTGAATGATTAAAAGACTTTCACCTCGGGTTCATAAAGTCAACCAAACCAGTCATTTTACATTAGTAATATAACAATATCAAGTATTCTACGAATGTTCAGGTAATGCTTAATATACAGTATTTTGTATAAATCAATTAATTTAAGTTAAGTTGCATGCTTTTATGAGACTGCATGTGTTTGCAGAGTTTCTCAAATTCATGGACCCCTAGGGTGTCAAATCACCAGAGGCACTGGGAAATTTCTGAATTGTGAACAAAAATGTCTCACTGAAAATAACAAGGCAAAGTGTTACAAAGCCAAATCAGCAATGATGGCTGTAAGGATAAAAATACAATATATTAGAATTTGAAAATTCAAAATAATAATGTTTCTTCACGCAAACTTTTGAACGGTAGTGCATATATACACTGAACAAAATTATAAACGCAACACTTTTGTTTTTGCCCCCATTTTTCATGAGCTGAACTCAAAGATCTAATCAGCATCTTGATATGCCACACCTGTGAGGTGGATGGATTATCTCGGCAAATGAGAAGTGCTCACTAACACAGATTTAGACAGATTTGTGAACAATATTTGAGAGAAATAGGCCTTTTGTGTACATAGAAAAAGTCTTAGATCTTTGAGTTCAGCTCATGAAAAATGGGGGCTGTTGTTTTGTTCAGTGTAATTGTGTGTGTGTGTGTGTGTGTGGGACTGATGAAATTACTCAATAAATATAATAAAATAAAAAATTCAGTTTCCATAGTAAGTCAAGAAGTCAAACTGACGTATTGTGGATATTTGGAACCTTAGTTCAAAAAAGTTTGAGAAACCGTGTATTAGAGAATGAAGTCTGCATTTTATCTTACATGAGGCTGGCTGTAGTGCTCCAGTGACATAGTCACAACGTTTACACAGATGATGAAGGTGATGAAGATGTCCAGGTAGTGACTGGTGCACAGGGTGTGGATCATCAATCGCACATGACTGTAACTGGCATAGTAGGGCAACTTCTGGGCCTCTGAAAGAAACGAATAGATCAGTTTAGAATGAACACCTTTTGACAACAAATATATAAAGCTGAAGTGTGTAAATTCAACAAATGGAATTCAAACAGGTTTCAATAACACTACTGCAATTGACCGGTCAAACACATAGTCCCACCCCCAAACTCATTTCATTGGTTCAGTCAGTGTTGCTATGCTGTGACGCTTAAACAAAAAGAGAAATGTTTTGTTAGCGCTACAGAGCCACAGTATTTACACTTTTATGAAAATCAACCTACTACTGGATTACTTACAATTATCTCTGCACATTAGATTGAGACAAGATAATTATTTACCATCAAACAAATTAGCTACAGTTTATATATGTGATGAAAAGGCTACTCTCTGGTCCATAAACTAGATTTGTTTTCTGCAGAGAAAAGATGCATCACAGAACACACCTGTGAGGTCTCCCCATCTGGCTAATGTTATTATAAGATGTCTGGAGAAATAAACTGGTTGTTCAGCAAATCATCTCTTTTCATTTACAGTCACTGCGCTCCATCCTTCTTTACCTTATGGATTTCATTCTCCTCTATGGAACAGGTATGGCCAGAAGGGTCAGTGATGTATTTTATTATTATTATCATTATTATTTTTTTTAAACAATTTTTTTTTTAATGTTTTAAATATATTTTGCCCAGTTGATTCTGTCATCCTGAATTATTGCAGGTAAAATACATATCTAAGTTAATTCAGTCTAATAAGAGGGTTTTTCCCAAACTAAAGACAATATTAAATTGAACAAGAGGTGGCTTTATCCATTGTTATTACTCTTTTATTGGCCAGACCCATTAGAAACAGATTCCACGGCACATGAATCCTGCCTCTCATCTCCTTTTCTCTTTCTTACTCCGTCTCTTTTTCTCCATGCGTCTCAGTCTCTTCTCCTCCCTCCTCTTGGCCTCCTCCACCTCCTGGTGCTGTCGGCACTTGTGGAAGTTCTCCACCACCACTCCAACAAACATGTTCAGCACGAAGAAACTGACGATCAGGAGGAAGGAGATGAAGTACAGCAGCATCCAGGGGTTGTTATTGGTTATGGGCTGATAAATGAAGAGACAGAAAGAACGGAAAATTAAAGAGTTAGGAACCAAAGACATTACCTTGATTTTCTGAAGAAAATGTGAATGGTGACAGCCTATAGAAATTTGCTATGGCGTTCTAGGTGCTCAAAAGGGTGCTGCTAGGTGTTTGCTAGAGCTTTCTTTGTGATATCTAAGGTGTTGATATGGATGTTCACCTGTCTTCTGCCAAGGGAAAAACCGAAAAGCCACTTTTTGTAAAGAAATGTAAGGATTTCTTTACAAATTAAGGTATCATTAAGTTCCGTAGCACAAACCATGCAGGATGGTTTTACCTCAAGGTTTGACTAGAACAGTTAGGAATGATAATAACGATGCTTTTCTTCACAAGTAGGGCTACTACTAAAAAAAAAAAAATGACACAAAAAAATGGTCAGAACAGGGAGCTGACTAAAATTTAATTCAGCAAGATAATCAACACGGCCTTGTGTAATGCAGACACTCATAAGCTTGAGGGAAATTGGTCAAATTATGGTAAAGTGAACTTAGGTGCAGATTTTACTTGGTTGCTTAGCAGCAGTGTGGAGCGAAACAAAAACACCAAAGTCTAAATTGGCTCATTGTAAAACATGGGATGAGAAAGCACACGGTACTCTGCACATTCCCATCTGCTTCCACACATAGATTATATCCTGCAGTGGACTCTGGTGTGACAGAGATGATGCAGTGGGGAAATTACACATGCCATTTAATCCATTTTCCACCCTTTGTTTGACTCTCTAGAGATGTTGGGCTCTTCCAGCGTGAGAGGGTCTGGCTGCAGGCCTACACTTAATCATTATGTGCTGGTCCCTAACTGATGCAAGCTCACTGCTTTTTGAATCGAGGACTTTTGAAAGTCAGTTTTTAGCTTCAGAGCCAAAAGCCTGTTAGTATTCATGAAGCTGATTGTGTGTATTCAGGATTAAATATTCACTGTTGAGTGCTTATTCCTTAAAGCTCTTTATTTTAGTTAAAAAAGAAAGTGACTTTTGTTTGGCACAGAACCCTTTTAACATTTAATAAGTATGAAAATAACTAATTCAGAAAATAAATTACATTTTATACAAAGTTGTTAAAGCTTACTTGTAGTATCTTAGTTATAGGATATAGATTTTAATAAAAGTGCACTGAGGGTGCACCAAGCCACTGTGAAAAACTGAAATGGCTTTTTGTGATGAGAGGGGCGGGGCCGAGAGCCGTGGGAACGGAGTGAGGCCGGTGGAGTAAATGCTAATGCACGACACCTGCGCCACTCACCGGTCTCGAGTCCCACGGAGGAGCTCCGGAAGGATAAAAGGAGGAGTTATGACAGTGAAAGACGAGAGAGGACCAGGGCTGGATTTTATTTTGTGTTTTGTGTGCGGCAGTCGTCCGCGAGGTGCTGCCGCTTTACTTTCGTTTTGTGTTTGTTTATTTTATTAAAGTTTTAAATGTTCGCCGGTTCCCGCCTCCTTCTTCCCGACCTACGAACTTTGCTTGGTGCCGAAACCCGGGAGGAAGGAGGGACACGCTGCCAGAGATCCCTCGCCGCTGTGGTGAATCCGCGGTGCCATCGAGCATGGCGGAGCAGTCTGCCGCCGTGGACGCTCGAGGCGGTGGGCTGGAGTGAGTTGCCGGGGGTGGGCGGACGAACTCGCTGCTGGCCGCCTGGGATTTGGAGGGACGGCTGCCGTCCGTAAGGGAGCGGAGGAGTCGCCGCCGTTCGCCTGAGGCCGGAGCCTGCTGCCATCCGCCATGATGGGGAGGAGCAGGGAACGGGGGACTCCTGCCGGCTGCCCAACCCGGAGGAGCCGTCGCCATCCACCAGGCGGCGGAGGAGTGTCGGGCCGTCCACCGAGGGCTATCCAGTGCCGCCGCCAGGCATCGCGGAAGAGTTTACCCAGCTGGTGGAGGGCCGAGTGGCAGTGTGTCTGGGAACCGGAACAAGATTTTTTTTTTCCCTCTCTCGTCTCTGTCTCCCCTCATCCTTCCGTCTCATTTTCTCTCGCCTCGTCTGTCTGTCCTTACCCCCAGGTACGCCGCGGCCGCCGTGATCGGCTCCCCCAGAGGGGGGAGGGGGGGAGTAGAGCGCAGTCTCG